GAAGACACATGACTATAATAAAAGAAAATAAATGGCGATTAGTAACTAGTACAATTAATAGTTCTTAATTACTATGGTACGTTACATCCCCTGAATCCATTCATTTCTGTTTTTACATGCCCCCAATCTTCTGCTTAGATTCCTTTTGGTCATAGCATCTTTTGATCTACTCGGATCTGTAGATCTAAACTGAGCCCTTCTAGCCCTGCTTCCAGCCTTCACTAATGTGGTGGTGGTCATATTACATGTGAATCCATCACCCTTCTATTTTCAATTAATTCAGCGTATTGTCAAGAACCTGTCTGCCTCAGTACTTTTTAAAATTGTCAGTGGATGGAAATTTTAATTTTTCTAATTGTTCTAAGGTATTTGTGCTATCAACTCATCCTTATGGCTGCAGAGTAATTCAGCGCATCCTAGAGCATTGCACTGCAGAACAGACCTTACCTATCTTAGAAGAACTTCATCAGCATACAGAGCAGTTGGTACAGGTATAATAAATTCTCTAATAATTTGGAATGTTTGTATATTTTTAAGAATTGTTCTAATTTTATTCTTTCAAGGAAATGTAATTTACTGTTAACATACTATAGAAATAGAATAGCAGTGAGACAAAAGCCTGTTGTTTTCTCCTGACTAGATTACTGGATTTTTAGACAAGCTGATTAACATCTTTTTAAATAATAACCATTCTACCTTTTTCTTAAGGAAAGTAACGTTTTAAATATCTGTCCTTAGGATCAGTATGGCAATTACGTTATTCAGCATGTACTGGAACATGGTCGACCTGAAGACAAGAGCAAAATTGTTTCTGAAATCAGAGGAAAGGTCTTAGCCCTGAGCCAACACAAATTTGCCAGGTATTACAGTATTTTTTAATTGCAGGGTCAGTTCTTTCAGCCCCTTGGCTTTTATTGGTAACCCTATTGTCCTCATACACACAGAAGTGCATGTAGACTATACCATTTAGTGGAGGCAAAAACACGTAAAGAACGTTGCTTTTATTCTTTAAAAAAAACTACATGGCAAATTGATTTTGCCCATTTTTGAAATCTGTGTTGAAGAAATTGTCCCAAAGACGTTACAGAAAATGCAAATTTAACTTATTTAGTACACACCCTTGAAAGTCCCAGGTCTTTTATTCTCCTAGTTTTGTTTTCTGAATTGTTTCATAATTCTAAGAGGCCTGTAATTACACTTATGGATGTCAAAATATGGGTTCTCCTGTGATCCTAGCTTCTGTTGAAAGGTTATTATTGTAAAGACAAGAGAATCCCATCTTGATTCTCTTCTTCTGTCTTCTGATAGATTGAGGACATTCATTCAAAAGCCAAGGTGATTTACTATAAAGAAAAAAAAATATTAAAATCTTTGTGTATGTACTTTAATTTTTAGCAATGTAGTAGAAAAGTGTGTTACTCATGCCTCCCGTGCTGAGAGAGCTTTACTGATTGATGAGGTTTGCTGCCAGAATGATGGTCCTCACAGTGCCTTATACACCATGATGAAGGACCAGTATGCCAATTATGTGGTTCAGAAGATGATTGATATGGCTGAACCTGCTCAGAGAAAGATAATCATGCACAAGGTAACATAGCATATAGCACTTAAATGGACAGCTACAATGTGTCTGTGTGACAAGCCTTTAACTTCTCTAGGCTTTAACTATTTTGTCCATGCATAGGACGACTGATGAACGAATCTGAAATCAATAGATAACCTTTGGCAGATGTTGGTTATGATATCCCCTTTTATTACATTCTTAAGATAATCTGCTTAGTAAAATTACCTTCATCCCTCATCTGTTTACCTAACTTTAGTTCTTTCCCCGTCTTGTTCAGGTATGCTTGATGTGCCATAATAGATACATTGAACACTGACTCATAAATGTAATCAGATTTTTTCTATTAACCTAGTACATTTTTCTAAAGAGAGAATGTATGTTGATTTGATTTTTCAAATAGCAGTGACTCCTAGTACTTTCCTTTTAAGCTGTTCTCATTCTGTACCATCTTGAACTCTTCCTAGAGTCAGTTGACTCTTTAAAAAGTCATTAATTGCCATAGGAAGACTTATTGTTAAAAAAAACACTGGAAAAAATATGTAAAGACTTACTCTTTTTTTTATAATTGTACTTTAGATGAAGGTTTACAGAACAAATAGTTTCTCCTTTAACAGTCAGTGCACATACTGTTTTATGACATTGGTTAATAACCCCACAATATGTCAACACTCTACTTCTCAACCCTGGAGGACCTTTTTTTTTTCCTTGGTGAAAATATATCTAGCCAAGGATACACCGTTGCAGAAATCTCTACATGTACATTTCAGTGACATTGATTACATTCTTTAAGTTGTGCTGCTATTCTCACTTTAAATGAAGGTTTACAGAAGAAAATAGTTTCTCATTAAACAGTTAGTACACATATTGCCCTATGACAATGTTAAGAACCCCACTACATGTCAACACTGTCTCTTCTCAACCTTGGGTTCCTTATCACCAGCTTTCCTGTCCCCTCCTGCCTTCTAGTCCTTGTCCCTGGACTGCTGTGCCTCATTAGTCCCGTTTTGTTTTATGGGGCTGTCCAATCCCTGGCTGAACGGTGAACCTCGGGAGTGACTTCACCACTGGGCTAAAAGAGTGTCCGGGAACTGTACTCTTGGGGTTTCTCCAGTCTCTGTCAGGCCAGTAAATCTGGTCTTTTTTTGTGTTAGAATTTTGTTCTACATCCTTATCCAGCTCTGTCCAGGACCCTCTGTTGTGATCCCAGTCAGAGCAGTCAAGGTGAAGACTTCCTCTTGATCGTCTTCTAAGTTTATTCATTTAGGAAACAGCAGAGTACATAACCTCTTTGAACGTCTTGTCCTATATAGAGAAACTGATCTTTTAACACTAAAAATGTTTTGGCCCTTTGACTTTTAAAATGCATTCCTCAACTCATTGTATTAAATTTTCTACCTATTTTTTAATCTAATATTTCTGTTAAAAAGTAATACTTAAAATTTTTTCAACTTTATTTTTAACAGCCACATGGGTTAAACCTTATCATATTTATGACATTTGAATTATTTCTTAATTTTTTAACTAACAGTCGTGTGAAATTAATTCAGTATTGATAATTTGTGTAGTTAAACAAGTGTTTTTTAGGATAAATTCCTAGACTTGGAATTGCTGGGTCAAAACCTTTGAACATTTTACATTTAAATAGATATTGCCAAATTGCTTTAAAAAAATTATATACAAGTTAATACATCTGTCTGTTCAATATATGAGAAGAGTGCCTGTTTCTCCACACCCTCATCAGCACCAATTATTAATATTTATTAAATCTTTACCAATCTGGATGGAAAGAAAATGATCTGTTTCTTTTAATTTGCATTTTAAAAATTACTAGTGTGATGTTGAGCATCTTAGTTACTGCTCATTCATGTCTTTTGCTTCATTTTGTTTTGAAATTCTTGTCCAGCTGCCCTGAAGTATAAAACTCTGCCTTCAAAAAGTTAGTAAGAGTTCAGTAGCTCATTCCTGCTATGCTTGGAGCATCTATGCTCTTAGCATATGAAATAGTTTAGAAGTAGTGGTTTGTTTATTCATTGAACAACTTTGAAAGCAGAGGTTTAGAGAGATGAGTGGGATAGAACTACTTCTGCAAACAACAGCTTTCTCTGAAGTTTAGAATTGTAATTTTTCTCAGTTAAATTATCCAGATTTGGAGACACTTTATTAAGGACTCAGAAACTAAAATAAATAAATTTTATTACTTAAGTAGACTATTTGTTTTTCAGATTCGACCTCACATTACTACTCTGCGCAAATACACGTACGGGAAGCATATACTGGCCAAGTTGGAAAAATACTATTTGAAAAATAGCCCAGATCTTGGGCCTATTGGAGGACCACCAAATGGAATGCTGTAAAGGAAAAGGAGATGATGATTTAACCATGTGAAAAAGGAGTTTCTTTTGTGAATTATCAAAACACAACTATGGATCTTCAAATTTTTTTTTTTAAAGCAAAACTATTTATTGACTTTATTCATCCATTTGTAAATTTTTAAAAGTTCTTGTGTATATTTGGGGGGTGGGTGGTGAATTACAAAATATATCCAGCCCTGAGCGGAGACCTATCGGATTGCTGGCAAAGCACAGAATGCCTGTATATGATGTAACTGTATCAAAAAAAAAAAGCTGTCACATATTTTGTAAATTTTTACCTTGTAAAGTCACAAAAATAGTTTTTAAGGAAAAAGTACAGTATTCTTTTAATAAACTGGCTTGCAGTCTGGTAGGTCTGCGACCCCACAGCACAACAGGTTTATAGAGATGTATATAGAATTACAGTCATTTTTTTTTTCCTTTGTGTGAAGCCTTTTATAACAGATTAGCAATCAACTGCATAAATATTATTAATATTTTAAATGAGAAAGTTAAGTTGTATTTTGGTAATTCACAAACTATCATGCAAATAAAAACTCAGCAAGTAAGACAAGAATTAAATGATTTGAGAAGAAAATAACCTACATTAATTACTGTGGATGTGGTTTTAATACAAATACTGCCCTAAAATGTCTCTGGCAATGTACAGAAGTATTGTATATACTTACATATGTAATTGTTGTAAGAGATAGAGAAAACAAAATCATGGTGACACTTCCATCCAGTTAATTGCGCTAAATGAAAAGTCCCATATTAACTTTTCAGTTTGGTTTGCAATGAGAAAGAGTGGAAATTTGTATTTTGTTTTGCTTATAGAATTACAAAGACAGGAAATGTTGGGCTTTATTTTGCTTTCCTATATTAGATACAGAAAGTAGGAACCAGAGAGAGGTGAAAAGGGGCCACTGAAAAGTGAATTTGATAGCTCAACATTTAAGCATGATTACATATTCAGATAGCTTTTTTTGCTTCCTATAAATATATGCATTGTGTGTGTAGTAATAGATGTAAGTTTACACTTTGAAAGCAAATCTTGTTTCAATGCTTATTATAAAAGCCTTGCTAATTTAGTAGTGATGCTGACCTTGGTTGTACAGGTGTACATTTGTAAACCTTCATGCTGTAAATGGAATTTGTTTTATCTCTTCGGGAAACATTTGCATTTTAGTGTACATTTATGTCCCTGCCCTCTTTGACTTGGCATATAGTGTTGTATAATGTAAATTTATTTCTCCAAATCGAGAGTGATTTTTTAAAAAAAATTTTTTATCTTTATATGGTTTCAGAGGTATGAAGCAGCTTTCTTTTTATTATTGTGATACACATTTTGTTTTATAACATAGTTGTTGACTCTGTTAATATGGACGTGCTAGGATTTGGGTCGCTTTCAATTGAAGTCAGGGTATTGTGCATAATAGAAAGTATTGGACTGAGATATTTGGTTACCATGGAGGCCAATGCTTTTTCCATCTTACTAAATGTGATGTGACTTCTTTTTTTTTGTACAGAAGAGTACTGTATTTTTGAATAGCCTACTCCCAAGTAAGAGCAAATCTGTATGATAACATTTTTTTCTCTGGACATAAGACACAGTAACATATAATGTACATTTACAAGCGGCCTTATGTACATTTCCCAACAATCTTTTTAAGGCAAAATTGTGACCATATGTGTATAATTAAAATCGTTTTTAATCCTTTGCCTATGAAAATATTTTGGAAAAAAAAACTTGCTTTGTATATTCAGTTTCTGAAAGATAAAGAAAGTGCTTTGTATTTTGTTGAAATCAGTATTTTGTATAAAACATTTATGTTGACCCACTTACGTTTAGTGCTGCAAACTAAAATGACATGCTATTTCAATTGATTGAATATGTAAGGAACTTTTTATTAGAGATCTGCAGAAGAAGATCAGTTCTCTGAGCACAATAATGAATATAAAGTTTTTATCATTTAGCTGTTCATATCATGAACCTTTAAAAAAAAATTTTGGGGGTGCCACGCATACTTTTTCATGTTTGAAGTTGAATTATTCTGGTTTTCTAAGCCAACATTCCTTGGTGAGGCCATTAAATCCAACCACTGGTCACTGGTTTTTTTTCCCTTCTCATAGTCACACTGGTTTATGAGAGTGTCCTAGTCACAGTGGCAGTGTGTTGTTTGTTTGGGGTTTTGTTTTGTTTTGGGGGGATTTGTTTGTTTTTGCCATGTAAAGCTGCTCTCTTCCACCCTTTCTTACTTTGCTTTACCAGCCTGTGAGTGTCTTGGCCCCATGCTGAACTTTGGTTCCCAGTGTCAGCCCATGGTTTCAGGATCAAAGCTGTCCTTGTTGGAGATTGGGACTGACTTTCCTTTATTTGCACAGCTGAATTCTTGGTTTTCCTTTATGCTTATGCTCTGTTCGCACAGACATTTATCTCTGAAAATTAGAACAGGAGAAGTCCTAGAGAATATTATGTTGGTCAACTGAACCCTCTTCTTGGGGTCCTGATGTTCCCATGTGTCCCAGTGTTGACAACCCAGTCTTCCCAATATTTTTGATAAGTTGGCATAGAGTTTTGGTAAAATCTGAAGATGATATTTCAGAATAAAGGAATTTAATTTGGGCAGAACCACTTACGCTTTGCTCTTGAGTGTCTCCTTTTGATATGGATTGTTTCTGGACCAGTTTGTCTAAGTTCTGGCTCTTATTGGCTCATATGAAATAATGTTATCTTCACTTCTTTGTATATTATGTATAAATTAGAAAATGAAAAATGTGTGAATAACATTGTATGAAATAAACCTGGTCTTGTGTTTTTCTCTAGATAAAATATCCCTCTGTACCTCAATTATGATTCAGATTGCCCATTTAAGTTTATTCTGATTTAAGGAAAACAAATATTTTTATCACATGGTTGCTGGTCTGGGGCCACTGATCCCTCTGTTGTTGCTCCCCTGTGTTGATTGATATTCAAATCTCTAATTACATAGAGCATTTCTAGCCTGTTTCTTATTAATAAGTGATACCCCTTAAAGGTGGTTTTGAGGTTTACATCATATTTCTGTACCCTTAGGTGCATGTTTCCTTTCCACATGCACTTGGGGAGGCAGTATTGTTTAATGGGAAGTAACAGTGTGGGTGCAGGTGTATATTTAAATTTTACTTCACTATTTACAAACATAAGAGCTCAGCTGCCACAATGGTTAGCGCTTGGCTGCTGAGAGGTCTGTGATTCAAACCCACCCACAGCTCTGCAGAAGAAAAGACTTGGCAATCTGTTCCCATAAAGGTTACAGCCTAGGAAACCCTGTGGGCAGTTCTACTCTGTCTTGCTGGGGTGCTATGAGTTGGAATCAACTTGAGGGTACATACAGCAACATTTACAAACAGGTGGTTATGAGTCTGAATCACTTGGAGGCAACCAACAACATTTACAAACAAACCTTGTGAACTTGGGTGAGTTAATTTATCGAAGCCTCAGTGTCTTCATCTGATAGTACTACATACTTTGTAAGTTTTAAGAATGGAGAATGTATTTTAAAAGGCACTGAGAACCTAATTCTCAACAAATGCTAATACAATTTTTCCCTCCCCTTCCGCATGAGCTGGGTGATTTGATAGAATCCAAAGTGGAGATCTACATAAAACTTGTGGGAAAAGGGACCTTCATTGTACACATTGTTTATCAATTTTAAATTTATCTTGATTTGGTTCTATTCTGGGCTAAAAGCATCTAGAATTGTTGACCCATCTCACTTTGTGATGAGGAAATTTTTAAAAGATTCTAAAAAGGCCGTATCACATCCTCCCACCCTAGTTTACCCATCTGAGAAAAGCAGTTTCCTAAAGTGGCCTAAAAATCTGCCACTGTCAAGTTGATTTTAACTGATAGCAACTCTTTAGGACAGAGTAGAACTGCCCCACAGGGTTTCCTATGCTGAAATCCTTACAGAAGCAGACTGCCACATCTTTCTCCCGTGAGCAGCTGGTGGGTTCAAAACACCTGGTTAGCAGATGAGCGCTTAACCACCGTGCCACAGTATTCTCTTTCCCTGTCCTACTGAAAACAGCAGACTGACACAGCTAGAAATTAAAAAGAGTTTTATTGAAGGAAAAAAAAATCATTTTGCAAAAATGGAGAGCTACTCGGGCACTCAAGAGGCTCTAGCTTGCAGGCAGAGCAGTGAGGAATTTATCAGGCACAGCAACAATGGCAAAATGGTTTCATATCAAGGAGGGTACAGAGGAAGGAAGGAAAATTTACAAGGGATTTGTCAAGCTACAAATGGAGCCCTGCTGGTTCAGTGCTTCAGAGCTTGGCTGCTAACCAAAAGGTGGTCATTTCAGATCCACCAGCCACTCCTTGGAAACCCTATGGTTCTACTCTGTCCTATAGGGTCACTATGAGTTGGAATCTATGGCAGTGGGTTTAGTTTTTGATTGGTCAAGCTCCAAACTTGTCTAACGTCAATTTCTAGCCTAAGGTCAAGGTCTTTTTTTCCCAGTACAGATAGACTAAGGCAATATTTCTGAAGCAAGCAGTGCAAACATTCCTGATGTGAGGGTTTAGTGATTGATCGTAGGCTAGTTCAACCCTAGTCGGGGTCCTTGAAATGTAAAAAGTCGACCATTTGGTAAGGAAGGATATTAGATTGGCTCTAACTTAAAGCCTTTTGAAATGTAAACATTGCCCATCTGCCTAACAGGGAGTGAGTTAAGGCCTAGGCATTGACTGATAACAGTTAAGATAGCAAGATTATTTTACACAAGCTCAGGCCTGGATCTCTACACTCTGTCACAAGCAATTAAAACTTTCACAGGAAGCCAACTTGTCTTTTGTAGAAGACAGAGGCAGGTCAAACCTAGTTGCATCTTAATTTAAAATAGAATTTCAGTTTAAGTCTGGGATTAACCGTTTCAATCATGCTAAGCAGCCCCAGTTTTAAGGTTTGTTTGTTCAGCCCCCATGAAGGCACTTTCTCAGAAAAGTAAAAAGGCAAGGACAGTAGGGGCGGGGCCGAGAAACCTCTAAAGAGCAATATTCAGTGTCTACCTTACCTGCTTAGAAGGATCTGGTTTTTATATGTCTGATGGGATTTGAATGCTCCAGACATTCAGAAAATTCATCCATGAACACCAAGGTTAGAAGGAATGGAGTGCAGTGGCATTGGTGCTCATATCTAGGGCAGTGGCATCACTAGGGGGGTGCAGACCACACCCGTGACACCATCAGAGGGAGAGACACCAAAATGACCCCCAGAGGCAGGCAGCAGTGGTGGCAGGTGGGCCAGGGATGCAAGACAGTGGTGTCACCAGGGTTGGTGTCACCCATCACCCAGTGTGGTAACTTGTCACCCACCGTCAGGGTGTGGGTGGCCAGGGGCACCTGCCATTGGGCAGAAAGGAGAGTCTTTGCCTTGGCCAATGGGAGAGGGGAGATGCTGCGGGGATCTGCCGGGGGAAGGGGGATGGTAGTGACATCATGAGTTACCACACAGGATGATACCAGTCCTAGTGACGCCACTGATCTAGGAGCTGCAGTGTGCATCAGGAAGAGCACTGCAGGGGGAAGGAGGGAATCCAGGGTCTGGCCTAGGCTGTGGCATGTGGACGGTGTGGTGTGGGCAAACAACTCACCCCTCTAGGCCTCTTAGTTACCTCTCTGTAGAGTAGGAATAATACCTTTACTGTCCAAAGAGCTTCGAAACTGAGAAGTACTTGATTGTAAGAACCTGACAGAACTACAGGATGAATCCTACAGGAAGCTCATTATTAGGTAGGACTTTTATGATTCATTACCTTTCATAATTCTGTAGACAGTTTCTTCAGTTTCTTTTATTCTGTATTTTGACCCATGTTCCATTCAGACTCTTTTTTTTTTTTTTTTTTTAAATCTACCAGGAACTTAAACCAGATGAAATATTCCTGTATTCTATTTGGTAGTTTAAGGGGAAACAAGTTGGTTAAATTCAGATTGATTCAAACTTCCTTGGGTTTCAAAGTATAACAGCTCATAATTTGGGCTCTAGAGTTAGACAACCTAGGTTCCAAGCACTTTAGCTTCATGTCCCTTAGACAAACAGGTTCATATCTTAAGATGCAGTTTCCTCATTTGTAGGTAAATGATAAAGCAGTTGCTGTCGAGTCAAATTCTGACTTATGGTGAACCCATGTGTGTCAGTAAATCTGTGCTCCGTAGCATTTTCAGTGGCTGATTTTTTGGAAGTAGATCACCAGGTCTTTATTTTGCAGTGCTTCTGGGTGGATTTGAACCTCCAACCTTTCAGTTAATAGCTGAGTGCCTTAACTGTACCACCTAGAGACTCCAGGGATAATGATACCCATCCTCTAAAAGTATGAGGGTAAAATGAATATATATGAAGTGCAATGGCAAGTGAGCACTCGGTAAATGTTAGCTAATAAGGTAAATCCTGTACATCGTTTTTGGTTATAGTATCTGTATTGATTGAAAGAACTGTTTTTTAAATTTGCTCATATAACAATCCCAAAGCATTTGATTTGGGCCTCATTTATGTTTTTGCAATGAGCAAAACTCATGATTCAAATCGCAGATAAATCACTAAAAAGTCAAAAGGAAAACTATAAAAGGTCTGATTAAGGGATTTGATTTTCCAGCATTTTTATTCTTAGCTCTCATTTTCTAGGTATTGATATCAGTAATACATAGCTGAGCTCTGGTGTGTAGAAGCTGTAAAG